TCGTAATGATTTTTGGCATAAAAGAAAAATCTATAATTTTGACCCCTACAATGTATTGTTGGCTATCGCTACAAATTAGAGCTGCACGATATATTGAAATTATCGAAATATCGCAATATGCATATCGCAAGGGCGTGTGATATCTGAATCATTATACATCATCTGAAAGCTGAATAAATAAGCTTTGCATTGATGTAAGGTTTGTTAGGAGAGGACAATATTTGAAAATCTGCAATCTGAGGGTGCAAAAAAAATCTAAATATTGAGAAAATCATCTTTAAAGTTGTTCAAATGAAGTTCTCAGCAATGCATATTACTAATCAAACATTAAGTTTTGATATATTTACGGTAGGAGATTCACTAAATATCTTCATGGAACATGATCTTTACTTAATATCCTAATGATTTTTGGCATAAAAGAAAAATCTATAATTTTGACCCCTACAATGTATTTTTGGCTATCGCTACAAATTAGAGCTGCACGATATATTGAAATTATCAAAATATCGCAATATGCATATCGCAAGGGCGTGTGATATCTGAATAATTTTAATAATAGGCTACTTAAATCAAAACGTTGCAAAAGGTCAAATTTTAGTCCGATGCATATAGCAGAGAATTGCTTGATGTTAAAAAGAGTTAAGCGCAATAAGTTGCAGAAATATTCATACGTGCTGCTGAATATGTCACTAATGTTAATCAAACAACAAAACAGCTATAACACAGATTAATCTAAATTTAATTCATACAGTGGACACTATGCATTGTTATTTTACACTTAATTATTACATTTCTGTATCTGAATACTACTGTTTATGTTATCTATTTTTTTAAAATGTGTATTTCTTTTTTTTTTACTGACTGTTCACGTGCCTTTAATCATGTTTGAACTTTCTCAGACTATAGTGTTTGCTGTGGTATGTGAAGAAGTACTTACAGTGTATGGCAAGCAAAGATACAATGATATAAAATTAGTGTCATTCATCTTTTGTTTGTATGTTCACACTGATGTTAAAACGACATTTTCTGATTTGTGACTACTTTTTATGTACTGCTAAATCACTGCTGGTCACTTTCAGAAGTTGTAGTGATTCTTTCTTTTCCAAGAAAGAATGTGAAACAAATTGGTTATATAATTTTCATTTGTAAATATTTTAAAATATAATTGAAACTGATTTTACACACTTTAAGCAATATCGTATCGCATATCGAATATGGCATTTTTCTTCAATATTGCACAGCCCTACTACAAATATACCCCAGCGACTTAACACTGCTTTTGTGCTGCAGGGTCACGTATAGTTTGGTCTAGACTGTCATTTTTGAACCCGACACTCGGCTGATTGGCTACAATATAATATTATATTATTATTATTAAACAGAATACAAGAAAAGAATGAAACAGAAAGAATATACAAATGACAAAACAAAGAAAGATAAAAAAAGAACCAAATTAAGAATAAATGAAAAAAACTAAAGCAAAAACAAAAGGAAAACAATTAGACAAAAAACACAAAAACAAACAAGAAACGGATTAAAATAAAATATGGGAATAACAAAAAGAATGCAAGAAACAAACAAAAAAAGAAAATCACTAAAATGGACAAGGAAATAGTTATATATACAAAAACAGAATAATAATAATTATTAATACTATTATTTACAGTATTCTTATTCTTATTATTGTAGTCTTAATAAGAGCTGGCATAATCAACGCTAACTGTAGGCTGCTTACAGTCCTCGATGCAGTAATATATAACCGAGCTGCATTTCAATCAAACGTGGGTCGTCAGGTGAGATTTACGAGCCAGAAATATCAGTTTCATAAGCTGGGCTTCTTTAGTGAGCTTGAGTGGAGCTGACAGCAGCGCAGGTGAAACATGAGCAAGTACTCTTCTGACGACTTGAATTAGTCTGACAGAGTGAAAACAGAGCGACGTCAAGTGATTAGTGCTGCTAAAAGCAGAGCGCGATCGCACTTCATAAATCTGAACAACTCGCCGTAATCAACTTACAAACGTACGTATCCGAGCGGTTTTTAGCACGCTGACGTTCATCCGTCGCTTGTTCGCAAGTAAATATAATATATATTTATATTATCACGGCTAGATGCTTCTGGAAAACACAAAAGCATCAAGAAAACGGAAATGTGACCCTGGAGCACAAAACCAGTCATAAGGCTCAATTTTCAGAAATTGGGATTTATACATCATCTGAAAGCTGAATAAATAAGCTTTGCATTGATGTAAGGTTTGTTAGGAGAGGACAATATTTGAAAATCTGCAATCTGAGGGTGCAAAAAAAATCTAAATATTGAGAAAATCATCTTTAAAGTTGTTCAAATGAAGTTCTTAGCAATGCATATTACTAATCAAACATTAAGTTTTGATATATTTACGGTAGGAGATTCACTAAATATCTTCATGGAACATGATCTTTACTTAATATCCTAATGATTTTTGGCATAAAAGAAAAATCTATAATTTTGACCCCTACAATGTATTTTTGGCTATCGCTACAAATTAGAGCTGCACGATATATTGAAATTATCGAAATATCGCAATATGCATATCGCAAGGGCGTGTGATATCTGAATCATTTTAATAATAGGCTACTTAAATCAAAACGTTGCAAAAGGTCAAATTTTAGTCCGATGCATATAGCAGAGAATTGCTTGATGTTAAAAAGAGTTAAGCGCAATAAGTTGCAGAAATATTCATACGTGCTGCTGAATATGTCACTAATGTTAATCAAACAACAAAACAGCTATAACACAGATTAATCTAAATTTAATTCATACAGTGGACACTATGCATTGTTATTTTACACTTAATTATTACATTTCTGTGTCTGAATACTACTGTTTATGTTATCTATTCTTGTAAAATGTGTATTTCTTTTTTTTTTACTGACTGTTCACGTGCCTTTAATCACTATCGCTACAAATTAGAGCTGCACGATATATTGAAATTATCAAAATATCGCAATATGCATATCGCAAGGGCGTGTGATATCTGAATCATTTTAATAATAGGCTACTTAAATCAAAACGTTGCAAAAGGTCAAATTTTAGTCCGATGCATATAGCAGAGAATTGCTTGATGTTAAAAAGAGTTAAGCGCAATAAGTTGCAGAAATATTCATACGTGCTGCTGAATATGTCACTAATGTTAATCAAACAACAAAACAGCTATAACACAGATTAATCTAAATTTAATTCATACAGTGGACACTATGCATTGTTATTTTACACTTAATTATTACATTTCTGTATCTGAATACTACTGTTTATGTTATCTATTTTTGTAAAATGTGTATTTCTTTTTTTTTTACTGACTGTTCACGTGCCTTTAATCATGTTTGAACTTTCTCAGACTATAGTGTTTGCTGTGGTATATGAAGAAGTACTTACAGTGTATGGCAAGCAAAGATACAATGATATAAAATTAGTGTCATTCATCTTTTGTTTGTATGTTCACACTGATGTTAAAACGACATTTTCTGATTTGTGACTACTTTTTATGTACTGCTAAATCACTGCTGGTCACTTTCAGAAGTTGTAGTGATTCTTTCTTTTCCAAGAAAGAATGTGAAACAAATTGGTTATATAATTTTCATTTGTAAATATTTTAAAATATAATTGAAACTGATTTTACACACTTTAAGCAATATCGTATCGCATATCGAATATGGCATTTTTCTTCAATATTGCACAGCCCTACTACAAATATACCCCAGCGACTTAACACTGCTTTTGTGCTGCAGGGTCACGTATAGTTTGGTCTAGACTGTCATTTTTGAACCCGACACTCGGCTGATTGGCTACGCGGCTTAGACTCGCGGCATGGAGAGAAAACCCTCGAAACGAGACGCGTTCCCATCTGTTTTCTCCTCTTCGGGAGGTTTTTTCTGTGCTCGTCTAAATAAATAAGTCGAGTTCAGCCTGACTGACGGTAAATTGGCTGGAGTGACGGCTGGAGAGGCAGATGCAGACGTGAAAGACGGGACAGATTTTAAGAAACTACTGCAACACTAATATTATCTTACAGGTCTGACAATCTACATTTTATTTATCCAAAATGACTAGCAGTACTTTTTTCAAGTCTTTTAGGAAAAACAACAAAAATAAATAAATACATATTTTTTATATAATAAATACATAACATGTATTTATAAAATACATACATTTTTATCATTTTAATTTATATTACCATATAATAGAAATACATTCATTAAATATTAATTTTTATGGGAACAAATGAAAGGCACTTTTTACTCATACAATAAAGTCAAAATATAGCCAACATCTATCCAATAACAAACTATTTTTTATTTTTGGATAGATGTTGGCTATATTTTGACTAATACATTTGATAATAGACCAAATATATTATGAATAATTATTTTGTTATTATATATGATATATTTGATAAATAAATGGACTTGTCCAATGAAGCCAATTAAAAAAAAATAATAATAATAATAATAATAAATAAAATATACTGTTCATTATAATTTCTACTTACATAAATGTTAATTTATTATTATTTTACAGAAAACAAGGTTATGTTGATTTGTCCAAATAAAGCTAATTTTATATAATATATATATATATATATATTTAAATGTATTTATTATTAATTTTTAAATAAAAAAAATTGAACGGCTTGTTTGAAACATTTACTCAAAAATAAACAAACAATAATAATAATTATATATATATAATTATAATACTATAATTTACTTGCATTATTATAAATACACGTATCTGTTCTTAATAATAAATGCATATATTAAATAAAATATAAATAAATAAATAAATTACATCAATCTGCTTTTTACAAACTAGCAAAAAATGTTTTTAGTTCAAAATCAAATCGCTCCATCAGTTGTTTCTTAATCCTAAATGAATTAAGGGTTGTTATGTGAACGGCTCTTAGCATGACACGTCAAAGCCGTCACTGGATCATGAGAAGCGCATGTGAGGTGTGTGAACTCACTGGCGTGGACCTGCAGGCCGCAGCACCCGCAGGACAGCAGGATGCTGGTGCCGTCGTCACCGATGTGGGAGTTCGACGGCAGCGGCTCTGTGTTTTCAGCTCCTGCGCTGAAGCACATCTCTGGAACCAGTGGACGGGTGCGACAGCCGACCCGGGACACCAGGCCAGACGTGTCCGAGAGGTGGAAGGGGTCCTTAAGAGGCTAAACACAAACACATGAGAGAGGAGAACATGCTAAACCAAAGAGAAATAAACAACGAAATAAAACAACTTTCTGTCTAATCAGGCGGTTTTTGGTAAAAAAAAAAAAGCATAGAAGTGAACCAGATTTTGTGCCGATAGCCAAAAGTCTGATTATGTGAGGCTCTTTTAGTGTACTGATAGTGCCGCACAGTGCACTCATTACCTGTGTGTACGGACAGAAGAGCGTGCAGACAGCGCAGTGCGGCTCGATGGTCGCCATCGCAGCGTTGAACTGTTTCTCGGCCAGGAAGTTTGGCGTGCGGTTCTGCCACAGCGCGCTCTCCTCAGACTTCTTGGCCTCCGGCTGAACGCCACCACCTACAGGCAGCCCAGAGTACAGCTCTACAGAAACACACACGAAAGATTCACTCGTCAAAGGAGCTGCACACTACAACAATCACTGTACACAACTTCACCATGAAGACAGAGAGAACGATAGATAGATAGATAGATAGATAGATAGATAGATAGATAGATGGATAGATGGATAGATGGATAGATGGATAGATGGATAGATGGATAGATAGAGCAACAGATGGAAGGATGGATGGATGGATAGATAGATAAACAACAATAGATAGATAGAATGACAGAAAGATAGAATGATAGAACGATAGATAGATAGATAGAGTGACAGATAGATAGAACGACAGAATGAAAGATAGATAGAACGACAGAACGAAAGATAGATAGAACGATAGAAAGATAGATAGATAGAGCGATAGAGCGACAGAATGATAGATAGATAGATGGATAGATGGATAGATGGATAGATGGATAGATGGAGCGACAGATGGAAGGATGGATGGATGGATAGATAGATAAACAACAATAGATAGATAGAATGACAGAAAGATAGAATGATAGAACGATAGATAGATAGATAGAACGACAGAACGAAAGATAGATAGAACGATAGAAAGATAGATAGAGCGATAGAGCGACAGAATGATAGATAGATAGATACAGTGATACAGCTGGCAGATATCTAGATGGCTAGACAGACAGACGCAACAATAACTAAAGTGTGCAGAAGCTAAATAAGAAGAATTTTAATATGATTCTCCCTCATAAGCACTAAAAATACTAATTTTTTTAGAGGTAAATAAATCATATAGAAGGCTATATAAGGTGGCTCAGTATGAGTGTTGTCCTCCTCCTCTGAGCCGTGACTCTACAGACGCTACAGTGACAGCAGGCGGTGCGGGTTTACAGCTGTCTCTGTTCAGAACACAGCACAGACAAAACAATAACCGTCTTTCAGCCGCCCCGTCTTATAAAGCGCTGATTGTTTGTGGCTGCTTTCTTTCATACTTTATTGCACACTTTCACAACAAACAAACACACACAAAACAACATCTCGCCATCAAACCAGAACACTCTGAAATAAAATGAAATGTTGTAAAAACATATCTAACTTTTAACAACTTTTTCCTCAGCCATCAGACATTTTTCTAGGGTGCCAAGTTTCTTCTGTTCTCCTGAACTACATGCGACAACAAAATCTGAATATTTCTCGCAGTACCCCATGAAAACTAAAATACAACATTGCCGTTTTCAAAGAACGACAGAAATGCCGTAATTATATTGTAAGTAATTTAATAACATGCTTTGTCATAAATTGAGCCTCATTTGAGAAACAGGAATAAATCAAATTTGTGTGCAAATCATTTGTAAAAACTTTCTTGCATACATTTTTCATATTCATTTACATACTTTTACGAAGTTTCTGAAGTCATAACGAAGTTCATTTATGAAACACAAGCAAATTAAATATCTCTTAATTAAATGTGAAAATTTAGTCGAGATGTTTTTCACAAGCATTCGATTTTATGATTTTACAATTTTAAAGAACCAAACGTGCAAATAATTTGACCATTTTAAGGATTGTCATTTATGAAACTTGCAAAACAAAATTTGGGTAATTTTTCTATAAAACTATTCTAACGCAAATTCAGCAATTTCTGAAAGAATGGTTTTACGAACGAACGATTTTTTTATGGACATTATTACGAACTGCATTTAAAAAAAACACACAAGCAACATGTAATTCAAGAATATCTTTACGAACAATTTAACGATTTTATGACCGTCATTGCTAACGCAATCAAAACCGTAAAACTATTCTAACGCAAATTCAACAATTTAAGCAAGAACAGTTTTACCAACGTCATTCGATTTTTTTATGGACATTAGGGATGTGCAAAAAATCATAAATCGTAAAGCGGCTCCTGTGATTAGTAGTAAATCTCCAGCACGTGCTTTCAGATGGAGCGGCATTTACTACACAGAGCCGTAGTTCACTGACAAGCTACACAAAATCGTGTTCAAAATCGCAGGCGATTCATTGCCGATTTTGAACGTGATTTTGTGTAGCTTGTCAGAACTTTACTGAAGAGATACGCATAAAAATCACATTCGATTTTTTGCACAGCCCTAATGGACATTATTATGAACTGCATTAATAAAACACACAAGCAACACATGAAATTCGAGAATATTTTTATGAACAATTTAAGGATTTTATGACTGACTTTGCTAACACAATCTATGAAAGAGGAGCAACACAAATTCAGGTAAACCTTTCGTTAAGTTATTTTCACTTAATTGCCAGATTCAATTTACTCACATTTTACGCAATGTTGCACGAACAACATCATTCGATTTTTCGTTTGATGAAACATTAGAAAAACAAGTTTCTGTGAATGCAAGAATGGCTTCATAAATTTCATTTTAAGAAGGTCATCACAGTGAAACCTGCGCACTGAACACTGCCAGGCGGTGCAGCGCGCCATATATTTTCGACCAAAAACCAAAAATGCCATTTTCGGCCGATAATTTCCAGTGCATCCCTAAAGAATGGTTTTACAAATTTTACAGACATTATGAACCGCATTAAAAAAAGAATATCAGTACATGTCATTTAACGATCGAACAGCCTTACGAACATCATTTGAATTTTTTGTACGTTATTTTAAATGTAATTATTGAGTTTGGGTGCATGCAAGAATGGCTCCATAAACAAATTTTAAGAACGTCATTATGAAAATTTCTGCATTAACCCTTTGATGTGTATGATCACACCGGTGTGATTAGAACGTTCAGTGCGTCACGTGATCTAACTGCTCAATTCAAATCTGCTTTCGTGCTTTTCCTGGCACTGAGCCAGAGACAGACACGCTCAGCGCTTTTCATATTATCACAACTTTTCAGTGTTTTCAACCACATAATATTTATTTTAGGCTTCAGACATTTAAATACACAAAAGTACTTGCAAAAAAATAAATTTAAAGTTTGTAAAATGCATATCGATGTCTATGGAAGCGGTGTTTAAACTACCAAATATATTTACTTATTCCTTTTAATAAATAAATATATTTATTTACTACTATTACTTATTATCGATTGAGAATCGGCATATCAGCTAATTCATAATATAGTTAACACATTTGTGATTTTTTTTTTATAAAAAGGAAAAATTAGATAAAAGCAATACATCACTCATAAACAGCTATTGTAGCTGTGGTGTGTCACGTGACAAGCATGACGCGTCACCATGGAAACAATAAGGCGATACATTCTAACATAAGGTCGCCGAAAAAAAAACTCACGCTCGGTGGGTTCGTGAAAAGGTTAAATGGTTTTACAAACATTCGATTTTTCACGGATATTACTACAAATTGCATTTAAAGCACACGCAAAACAAGTAAATTAACAATAGCTTAATGAACAATTAAAATATATAATTACGAGCAACCTTCCGAACAATTAGATTTTTCATCATTATTTAAAATGTAATTTTTGAAACATGACAAAAACTAGTAGAATGGCTTTATGAACAATTTTACATGATTACGAAATTAATTTGAAACATAAAACAAATTCATGGAAATCTTTCGTAAATCTGTTCTAGCGTAAAATGTTGCACTGAAACTTTAAGTGAAAATTAATGTTTTTGAAGAACAATTCACACAGAAATCTGCTTGTGTTTCATGCATGAGGCCCAAAATGTTAATAGTAACAAAAAAATAAATTCCGGAATTTTATACCGAAAGTATATTGCGCTTAACGTTCATCGTTTATGAAGTTATGAAAGCAGTACTTACCCTCATCGCTGGAGGCTTCCTGTTTGACTATTGAGTGAGGAGAGCGCATGGGTGGCTTGCTGAACGGATGTCTTCGGCTCTTCTTCACCTTAACTTTCTTCTTCAGTTTCATGAAAGGATTCGGCTGAGAACAAAAACATTTAACGATAATTTACCTCAACATTTAAAATCCTAAAAACCCTTTGGGACCAGAGAAGCCGCTCACCTGCAGGCCGGGAGCGTCTCCATTACTCTGGTCCTGAATGTCGCTGGAAGCGAACTGCTCAAACACCTGCTGGAAGGAGAGATCGTCGAGATGCTTCGGCTTCTTCTTTTTCTTCTTCTTCTTCTTCTCCTCCTCTCCGTTTTCCGATGGAGGATCCTGAGATTCTGTTTTTCCATCTTCACCTGCAAAGGCAGTTGCTAGGGTGTTACTATGTGGTTGCTAGGGTTTATGGTGTGGATGCTATATGCTAAAAGTTTGCTTGCATCACCTTCTCCACGGAGTGCCGCTTCCGCCTGCTCCTGCTCCTCCCTCTCCAGCGCCTCCAGCGTGAGGAGCGCCTCCCGCGCCATGCGCTCGTCCTTCTGCTGCCGCCGCTGCTGCTCGCGCTCCTCCACCTTGAGCAGGTACTCGCTCATGTCCAGCTCCACTCCCTCCTCCGCCAGAACCTTCACCTCCTCCAGCTTCAGACGGCGGAACTGTTTCACCTTCGCCTGAGCCCTACGACAAACGCAAACGGATAACGAACTTATTTCAACGCAAACGTTTCCAATTTAATAGTTCTCATTTATTACGATTCAAAGAGTAAACATCAAAGGCCAATAAAAACCTAGTTAACTTTTATTTTAAACAAAGCATTTTCCCACTTTATAGTTTTTATTTAATACAATTCTAACGGTAAAGGTCAAACGTAAAAAAAAACTTCGCCAGAGCTCTACAAAAAACAATGCAAACTGATAACAAACTTTTATTTCAAATCAAACTTTTCCCACTTGATCGTCTTTATTAATTACGATTCGAGCAGTAAAGGTCAAAGGTCATCAAAAACTTCGCATAAGCACCCCAAAAAAAACCAACAGATAACGAGCTTTTATTTCAAACACAACATTTTCCACTTGATAGTTATTACGAATCAAATAAAAAAAAAAACTCAAAAGGTCAATAAAATCTTCACCTAGACTCTACAAAAAACAACGCAAATGGATAACGAACTTATTTTAACGCAAACGTTTCGCATTTAATAGTTCTAATTTATTATGATTCAAAGAGTAAACATCAAAGGCCAATAAAAACCTAGTGAACTTGTATTTCAAACAAAACCATTTCCCACTTGATCGTTTTTATTACGAATCAAACAGAAAAGCTCAAAGGTCAATAAAATCTTCACCTAGACTCTACAAAAAACAACGCAAATGGATAACGAACTTATTTTAACGCAAACGTTTCGCATTTAATAGTTCTAATTTATTATGATTCAAAGAGTAAACATCAAAGGCCAATAAAAACCTAGTGAACTTGTATTTCAAACAAAACAATTTCCCACTTGATAGTTTATTACGAATCAAACAAAAAAGCTCAAAAGGTCAATAAAATCTTCACCTAGACTCTACAAAAAATAACGCAAATGGATAACGAATGTATTTCAACCCAAATGTTTTTTGCTTGATAGTTTTTATTGATGACGATTCAAACAGTGAAGGTCAAAGTTAAAAAAAACCTTATAAATAAAAACCGTCGCCTGAGCTCTACGACAAACACCACAAACGAATAACTTTTTTTCAACCCAAAAGTTTTCCGACTTGATAACATTTTGTTTATTAAGATCCTAACAATAAAGGACATTTCACGTCCATGGTAAATTTTCGCAGAGAGATCGTTAAAACAATGCATTTAGCGCACTTATTTTGACCAGTAAAAAAATTTTAATAACACAAATAAAAAAAAAAAATGTCATTACAACAGCTGCACTATTATTATATCGAACCATGAACGTCATAACGTGACATTCCTACATCACGCTATCGCATCTTTTAACTATTATCATTCCATATATTATTTTTAGCAATTTAACAATGTATTGTGTTTAGCATTAAAAGCACATAATATATTCAGTACTTGCACAGATTTTCACAGTCACACATCGTTAAAACGAAACAATGAGTTTTTGCGCAAAGCATGTTTTTTTTTTGTTCAGGGGACTGATGAAAATTAGTTTCTAAAATCAACGATAAAGGTCAACTAACAGATTTTTGTTGCAAAAAAAAAACAAAAAACGAAACGCTGAAAATTTTGGGCACCTGCGCAGGAGTTTCTCTCTGTACGTGACCCTGGTTTTCCTCCAGTGCTCAAATAAAAACCGTCGCCTGAGCTCTACGACAAACACCACAAACGAATAACTTTTTTTCAACCCAAAAGTTTTCCGACTTGATAACATTTTGTTTATTAAGATCCTAACAATAAAGGACATTTCACGTCCATGGTAAATTTTCGCAGAGAGATCGTTAAAACAATGCATTTAGCGCACTTATTTTGACCAGTAAAAAAAATTTTAATAACACAAATAAAAAAAAAAATGTCATTACAACAGCTGCACTATTATTATATCGAACCATGAACGTCATAACGTGACATTCCTACATCACGCTATCGCATCTTTTTACTATTATCATTCCATATATTATTTTTAGCAATTTAACAATGTATTGTGTTTAGCATTAAAAGCACATAATATATTCAGTACTTGCACAGATTTTCACAGTCACACATTGTTAAAACGAAACAATGAGTTTTTGCGCAAAGCATGTTTTTTTTTTGTTCAGGGGACTGATGAAAATTAGTTTCTAAAATCAACGATAAAGGCCAACTAACAGATTTTTGTTGCAAAAAAAAAACAAAAAACGAAACGCTGAAAATTTTGGGCACCTGCGCAGGAGTTTCTCTCTGTACGTGACCCTGGTTTTCCTCCAGTGCTCCAGCTCGGGGCTGCTGAGGCTCGTGGGTTTGAGGTGGTCCAGGAGCGTGTTGTCTTTCCCCTGCTTCCACAGATCGTAGCGGTCGGGCTGCAGGCAGCGAACGAAGACGTCCATGGAGATCTTCACCATGTCCTTACGGCACGTGCACTGCAGAAGACAAGCAGGAACCAACAACTCTAAATAAACAAAGTCCACGACTGTACAACAGTTCTAATATGTGACACAATCACGGTCAGTCAGAATGAATTTAAAGTTTAGTACACAGCTATGTGGAGAGAAATTTTGGACCAATGAGATTCCATGTTGAGCGGGGCTAATCAGCACAAATAAATAAATAAATAAATAAATATATATATAGAGAGAGAGAGAGAGAGAGAGAGTATTATTCTTTTAAATGCATTAAATGTATTAATTTCCTATTCATTTATATTACTTTACATTCTTTGAATTCAGTTTAAATATGCAGTTTTATTTATGTATTTATTTTATATATTTTTGCAGTTTTTTTTAAGTGATTTTATTTTCGGCCTTCAGTTTTGAGATTAAATAATATTATAGAGTAATATGAATAAAAATGCAAATTTATATACAATTTATTAAATATTAACAATTCATAATACACATTCATTAATATAAAATTAATACATTAAAAATAACAAGCTATTACTAAATATAATGTAGAAACTAATGTTTTTTGCTTGATAGTTTTTATTGATGACGATTCAAACAGTGAAGGTCAAAGTTAAAAAAAACCTTATAAATAAAAACCGTCGCCTGAGCTCTACGACAAACACCACAAACGAATAACTTTTTTTCAACCCAAAAGTTTTCCGACTTGATAACATTTTGTTTATTAAGATCCTAACAATAAAGGACATTTCACGTCCATGGTAAATTTTCGCAGAGAGATCGTTAAAACAATGCATTTAGCGCACTTATTTTGACCAGTAAAAAAAATTTTAATAACACAAATAAAAAAAAAAATGTCATTACAACAGCTGCACTATTATTATATCGAACCATGAACGTCATAACGTGACATTCCTACATCACGCTATCGCATCTTTTTACTATTATCATTCCATATATTATTTTTAGCAATTTAACAATGTATTGTGTTTAGCATTAAAAGCACATAATATATTCAGTACTTGCACAGATTTTCACAGTCACACATTGTTAAAACGAAACAATGAGTTTTTGCGCAAAGCATGTTTTTTTTTTGTTCAGGGGACTGATGAAAATTAGTTTCTAAAATCAACGATAAAGGCCAACTAACAGATTTTTGTTGCAAAAAAAAAACAAAAAACGAAACGCTGAAAATTTTGGGCACCTGCGCAGGAGTTTCTCTCTGTACGTGACCCTGGTTTTCCTCCAGTGCTCAAGCTCGGGGCTGCTGAGGCTCGTGGGTTTGAGGTGGTCCAGGAGCGTGTTGTCTTTCCCCTGCTTCCACAGATCGTAGCGGTCGGGCTGCAGGCAGCGAACGAAGACGTCCATGGAGATCTTCACCATGTCCTTACGGCACGTGCACTGCAGAAGAAAAGCAGGAACCAACAACTCTAAATAAAAAAAGTCCACGACTGTACAACAGTTCTAATATGTGACACAATCACGGTCAGTCAGAATGAATTTAAAGTTTAGTACACAGCTATGTGGAGAGAAATTTTGGACCAATGAGATTCCATGTTGAGCGGGGCTAATCAGCACAAATAAATAAATAAATAAATAAATATATATATAGAGAGAGAGAGAGAGAGAGAGAGTATTATTCTTTTAAATGCATTAAATGTATTAATTTCCTATTCATTTATATTACTTTACATTCTTTGAATTCAGTTTAAATATGCAGTTTTATTTATGTATTTATTTTATATATTTTTGCAGTTTTTTTTAAGTGATTTTATTTTCGGCCTTCAGTTTTGAGATTAAATAATATTATAGAGTAATATGAATAAAAATGCAAATTTATATACAATTTATTAAATATTAACAATTCATAATACACATTCATTAATATAAAATTAATACATTAAAAATAACAAGCTATTACTAAATATAATGTAGAAACTTTCATTTTCTGTAAAGCTGCTTTGCAACGATTTGCATCGTGAAAAGAGCTATACAAATAAACTTGAATTGAATAATACTATAAAAATAAAAAATGAATAAATTTAACAAAATATTAATTATTATATTTCAATTAAAAGAATAATATAAGTTAAAAATAAAATTAATAAATTACTATAAATGCATATATTTAAATAAATAAAACTTAAATGTAAATTATTTAAATACACAAAAAAATTAAGATGCAAAAATTAAATTTGAAGTAGAATACTACTTCAGAATACTACTTAAGTCACCTTAAAAACTACAAAAATATTGGGGTTCAAACAGATGAAATTGTATAAAAGATGAGAATCAAATGAACTGCATCATGGGAGTCGTGTCTGAAACAAGGATTGAGAGGAAAATGAAGGCGATGGAGACGAGATGTGATGATTAGATGAAATAAGTCTTCATGCAGGTGCGCAGACGCAAGATTATTAAATCATCAGCGCCGACAACTGCGACACTGGCTTTTAATTGCATTGAGTTTGCATGGCGTGGATCGAAGTGAAAAGCACACAAATCAACATCTCTCAATCAACAGCGAGAGAGAGAGAGAGAGAGACGGAGGAAATAAAAGTCATTTTCCTGCGAGCTGCACTCGGCTGTATTACATCGGGCTGCTATTTCCAGCGCCGCGCCGGAGCTGCTGTTCAATTACCAGAAACATTCTGCAGCTGAAGTGAAGACAAACACTGTCTGTGTGTGTGTGTGTGTGTGTGGGCATAATAAATGGCAACAAGCGCTATTCTTCACTCCGAAATGTCAATGTCTCGCAGCGTAACTCCAGGGCTTTGCCATATTATGCTCAGAAATGCATTTCCAGCCCGACTGGAAGGATCAGACTCCACCTGGAAAACAAGCAGCGCTGAGGAGAAGAACCAACCTAAACTAAAAGTACAATCATGCTGCGAACATTTTTCAGGAGCGTAACTGGGCTGTTTCCAAAATACTGCAGGTGTTACAAGCTACATTTCCTTAACGAAAATTGTGACAGTAGGGAGATCTGTAAAGCTGCTTTGCAACGATTTGCATCGTGAAAAGAGCTATAAAAAATAAACTTGAATTGAATAATACTATAAAAATAAAAAATGAATAAATTTAACAAAATATTAATTATTATATTTCAATTAAAAGAATAATATAAGTTAAAAATAAAATTAATAAATTACTATAAATGCATATATTTAAATAAATAAAACTTAAATGTAAATTATTTAAATACACAAAAAAATTAAGATGCAAAAATTAAATTTGAAGTAGAATACTACTTCAGAATACTACTTAAGTCACCTTAAAAACTACAAAAATATTGGGGTTCAAACAGATGAAATTGTATAAAAGATGAGAATCAAATGAACTGCATCATGGGAGTCGTGTCTGAAACAAGGATTGAGAGGAAAATGGAGACGAGATGTGATGATTAGATGAAATAAGTCTTCATGCAGGTGCGCAGACGCAAGATTATTAAATCATCAGCGCCGACAACTGCGACACTGGCTTTTAATTGCATTGAGTTTGCATGGCGTGGATCGAAGTGAAAAGCACACAAATCAACATCTCTCAATCAACAGCGAGAGAGAGAGAGAGAGAGACGGAGGAAATAAAAGTCATTTTCCTGCGAGCTGCACTCGGCTGTATTACATCGGGCTGCTATTTCCAGCGCCGCGCCGGAGCTGCTGTTCAATTACCAGAAACATTCTGCAGCTGAAGTGAAGACAAACACGGCAAACCCTGTGTGTGTGTGTGTGTGTGTGTGTATGGCAACAACTGCTATTCTTCACTCTGAAATGTCAATGTCTCACAGAGTAACTCCAGGGCTTGCCATATTATGCTCAGAAATGCAATTCCAGCCCGACTGGAAGGATCCGACTCCACCTGGAAAACAAGCGGTGCTGAGGAGAGGAACCAACCAAAACTAAAAGAACAATCATGCTGTGAACATTTTTCAGGAGCGTAACTGAGACTCAGCTGTTTCCAAAACACTTCTACATTTCTTTAGCAAAAATTTGTGACAATAGGCAGATACATGTGTGTGTGTGTGTGTGTGTGTGTGT